TTCTGCTGAGTTGGTTGTAATTTGTAAAATGAATTTGAAAGATAGTGAATTGGGAATCACTCTTGTGTTAAGAGTTGACTGGGAACTGGATGTAGGGTTGTCTATACCCAAACCAGTATAAATTTGTGTGTGCTCTTCTCTTTCCCTTATCTCTTTCTTTTTTCCTGATTATATTATCGCTTCCACTTTATCTGTGTTCAAACAAATTATTGACTCACAAATAAATTTGTAATTTGACATATATTTTAATTGTGCATCTATTCACCCCCCTCTAGATGCCATTTGTCTAACAAGTGGTATTAGAGCTTGATTAGATAAGATATTTCTACACGATCTGTCAAGATGTCTATGCAGAGTCAGGTTTACAGGGAAGGAGCCTCAATAAATAGACCACCATTATTTGAAGGAGAAGACTATCAGTTTTGGAAGGCGAGAATGGAAATATTTTTACAAACACTAGATTACGGTGTTTGGGATGTTGTACTCAACGGTCCCTACATTCCGATGAGAACAACGTAGTCTGGATTTGTTCCAAATACTTTTGATCAATGGACGTCGGATGAAAACAAGCGTGCTCAATATGATGTAAGAGTTCGAAACGCTATTGTTTCTGCCTTAACTCGTAATGAATTTTTCAGGGTCTCACAATGCAAGACGGCAAAAGAAATATGAGGCACTCTTGAAGTAACACATGAAGGAACAAATGAAGTAAAGCGAGCACGTAAGAACACACTCATCCAGGAGTATGAATTATTTCAAATGCAGCAAAATGAAAGCATCACAGATTTCCAGACACGCTTCACACATATAATAAATCACTTGAAAGCATTAGGAAAAAGTTTTGACAGTGAGGAGTTGAGCACAAAGATCTTAAAATCCTTAGACAAGAATTGACAATCAAAGGTCATTGGTATTACAAAATCAAAGGATCTCACAAAAATGAATATTGCTACTCTATTTGGAAAGCTACGAGAACATGAGATGGAACTACAAAGGTTAAAGAACGGTGAACAGAATCAAACAAAGACGATAACTCTAAAAGTAGAAAAATCTTCACAAGATGAAAGAAAAAATGAAGGTAAGTTTTCGGACTCCGATATGTCTCTTTTTGTTAAACAATTTTCTTGCTTTATGAAGAACAAGAAAAAGAGACAACAAAGAAAAGAGAAAACAAATAAATTCCATTGCTATGAATGTGGAAAACCTGGTCTTATCAAACCAGACTGTCCGAAACTTAAGAAAGAGAAGAAATATGTGAAAGAGAAGAAGAAAAAGAAGAACGATACCTATAAGAGAAAACACAAAGCTTATATTACTTGGGAGGATAATGATTCTTCCACAACACAAGAGAGTTTTTCCGAAAGTAGTGATGGAGAAGAAGAAGCAAATCTTTGCTTGATGACAAAAAGTGATGATGAAGCCTCATCATAGGTAAGTAGTACAAAATCCTTAAATGAATATGATGAGTTTTTTAAAGAATATCAAGATATGTATGAAGGTTTTACCAAGTTATCTAAGAAATACAATGCACTTAGGCAAAAGTTTAATGCATTAGAAAATATTGTTGGTATTCTTGAAAAAAAAATGAGTGCTTAAAGAAAGATGTTGATAAATTTAAAACTTTGTCTAAAAATAAAGAAGTTGTTAAACCTTGTGAAAATTTTAATCATTTGGAAAATGAGATTTTCAAGTTAAAGAAAATAATAAGCAAGTTTTCAAAATCTTCTGAAAATTTTGATTCTATATTAGGTTATCAAAGAGGGAATTCTAGCAAAGCTGAACTTGGTTACAAACCCAAAGAAAGTCTAAAACCTCATAAAATTATTTTTGTGAGAGTCAAAGAAAATATATGTGAAACCAGTTTCAAAAACTTTAAGAAACTCATTTAGATCTTTTCAAAGAAAACCAACATGTTTTTATTGAATGAAATTAGGTCATACATCAAATAGATGTTACATAAAACATTTTGGCATATCTAATGGCAAATATGAATGGGTGCCTAAAGGAACAAAGTATTTATACATGTCTAGATGATAGTCTGAGCATCTAATTGATTATCAGAATCGAATTTTTTTTTCCTTGTTGTCATAATAAATTATGTTGAAAGTTTGAATTTATGAAAATTTGAAATTATTAAAGTTTGAAATTTTGCAGTTTCAGATTTTTTTTTTTTAATTTGTAGTATGAGATTTTTGAAATTTGAAATTTTGCAATTTGAGATTTTTGAAATTTGAAATTTTGTAGTTTGAGATTTTGAAATTTGAAATTTTTGCAATTTGAGATTTTTGAAATTGAATTTGAATTGGAACTTGAAATTTGGGATTAGAAATTTGAATTTGAAATTTGTTGGAATTTGAATTTGAAATTTGAAATTTGTTGCAATTTGAATTTGAAATTTGGAATATGAGTGAATTTGAATTTGAAAGTTGTTTAAATAAGAAGACTGCAATTGAGAGAAACTACTGCATTTCATTTCATTATCTCTACAATCATTCTATTCCCCTATCTTTCTCTCTCTTCATTTGTCTTAGGTATCTTAGATATTGTCTCCTTAATATGATGTTCTTCTCTATGACACTTTGTAATACATTATCTTCTCTACCTTGATTTATGTACTAATATGTGCAAATTTGTTCTCAGTTTTTATTGCAATATTTTTCATAATTATCAATGAATCAAGGAGATATTTTGATGATATTAATATGTGTGAAACAGGGGGAGATTTTTTTTCTTATAATATTTTTTATGATTATCAATGAAACATGAGGAGATTTTTTGATGAATTAAAATCTGTGTGAAATTCTTCCCTATCTCTAAATTAAACACGGGGAGTTAAGAGAAGTCTTTGCTCATATGAGTTAGGGGGAGTCTTGTTATTAATATATCCAGGGGAGATTAAGAGACTCTGACACTTATACAAATTTGTGTTAATCTTGAGCTGGCTATATAGAGTCAAACATTTTAATTCATTTCAGGTGTTTCTTTGATCATCATCAAAAAGGGAGAGATTGAAACAATGAGGGCGAGATTGATGGAAATGTCCCTATATTTCCAAGAGAATATTTTGATGATGATTCAAGTCAACTACATTCAAGTCAACACCATTCAAGATGAATTAAGGACAAGCTAAATTTAAGACGTTGGTGAAAATGTGAAACATTTCTCTACATGCCAAATATATGTTTTTGATAAAGATGATGATTCAAATAAGTCCAAGATGATTCCTGAAGACTAAATAGAGTCTTAGAATACTGGATATGGAGGTACAAGTTGATGAAGTAATATTATGCATAAGCCTCCAAAGCACAAGTGTGATAAAATTCATAACGTGATATTTTTCACTGTCATAATCAATTATGATGGATCAGAAATGGAAAAATGATTTTCTCTATCATAATTGATTATAATGGTAACATAATCAATTATGACAATTCAAATTTGAAAAATATATCTGTTTTGAAGAATAAATATTTTTGAATATATCCTGATTTTTATTCACAAAAATATTAATGTCCAACGACCATTTTTTGATATTAATTTTCTATTTAATTAAGTTTTGATGAAAAATAAAAAACACACAATTACAGAATTCGAAAATAGAAAAGAATTCTGAGCAAGTCAACAGATATATTTTACATCTTCTGAGAAAATCCTCTTCTCTACTGCCTTCTGTGCTCTCATTGTTAATCACACTTGTTCTTGAAGATTGACATTCTACAAGCTTCTACAATTTGTTGTCTCCATTACCCAGGTGTGACTATTCTTATTTTTATTACCTTCATCCTTTGTGTATTGGTGGCAAATGAGGTATTTTTCATCCCTAGTGTGATTCTAAGGAGGTATTCATCCTTAGTGAGATTCTAAGGAGGTGTTTTTCATCCTTTGATTTGTTCAGAGGAGGTGTTCATCCCTAGTAGAATTCTAGAGAGGTGTTCATCCTTAGTGGGTTTCTAAGGAGGTGATTGTCTTTTTAATTAGTTTACTTTTTACTGGTTCTTCTGCTGAGTTAATTGTAATTTGTAAACTGAATTTGAAAGATAGTGAATTGGGAGTCACTCTTGTGTTAAGAGTTGACTAGGAACTGGATATAGGATTGACTATACCCGAACCAGTATAAATTTTTGTGTGCTCTTCTCTTTCCCTTATCTCTTTCTTTTTTTCCTGATTATATTATCGCTTCCGCTTTATCTGTGTTCAAACAAATTATTGACTCACTATTAAATTTTTAAGTTTACATCTATTTTAATTTGTGTATCTATTCACCCCATCTAGTTGTCATTTGTCTAACAGAAAGACTGACTGGGCACAATAGTGAAGAGGGTCATGTATTACTCTTCAAAATTGCATTTAAACCAATCTATTTTAGTGAAATTACATTTTCACCCCTCATTTTTAATGAATTGCGATTTTGACGTTGAGTTGTCAAATGGACGTTTGCTCTCTGTTGTCAAAAAATAATTTTTGTGATATTTTGACAACCAGAAACCATACAACTCTTCAAACAACTCACTTTTATTAATATAATAATCTATAGATCGATTTAATAAAAATAAAAATAAAATAAAACTATTATTATAATATTAAAACAGAGTTGTTTATAGGAGTTGTATGGATTTGGGTTGTCAAATGGACATTTGTTCTCGATTGTCAAAAAATAATTTTTGTTAATTTATTAACTAAACAAGATAAAAATAAAAATAGGAAAATGATACTTTGACAACCCAAATCCATACAACTCTCGTAAACAACTCTGTTTTAATATTATAATAATAATTTTATTTTATTTTTATTTTTATTAAATCAGTCTATATATTATTATATTAATAAAAATGAGTTGTTTAAAGAGTTGTATGATTTATGGTTGTGAAAATATCACTATTCATTACAATAAAATAAAATAAAATAAATATTGTGGTGTCTAACTATAGCAGTTGGAGTTTCTTTGTTGGTGCCACGCTCCAAACGAAGAACCTGTTGCGTTGTGTCTGCGTTTGCGTTTCATGGCTTCTGCAACTCCCACACTCCCTTTCGCCTTCGCCCAGCGGCATCATCACGGTGTTTCTCAGCGTCGAGTTCTCTTCTTCGCTAAATTCCGTAACGGAGTCTCCCTCTCTTCTTCTTCGGCTTCGAAACGGAGGGTGTTGGCCAAAACGCAGAATGTTGTAAACGAGGAAGTGATTGAAACTCAGAGCTCGGAGTTGAAGAATGATATCCAACGCACCCGTTCTTCCTCCAAATTGGTGCTTGTTGTTGGTGGCTCCGGAGGCGTTGGTAAACACAATTTTTCTTCACTTCTATTGCTCTTCAATTTGTTGTTTCCGTATTTATTTGTTAAACATGCTGCTACTCTCAAAATATATCGAACTTTCTATATAATTATAATTTTGAATTTCTATATAATTATAATTTTCTTGGAATAAAGCTTAAATTCATTTTGATTTCGGTAGTGATGACAGCTTGCAGTTTTGGTTCCTATGGAAATTTAATTACACTTATAGTCTTTTCAATTTTTCAAAATTAAGTAATTTTGGTCAAGTGCTAAGCATTGCCCAAGTTCTAACCGCAGATGTTCGCTTGTTTGATAATTAATAACAAGATTTAGTAAAGAGTCTTTTAGCATCTCTCATCACTACAGTACATTAGCATTTTTTTTAAACAATGAATATGCTATATTAATGTTCGACCAAAATTACGTAATTTTGGAAAAACTGGACAGCCAAATGTGCTATAAAATTTTCATGGAGACCAAAATTGCACATGGACGAGGCTATGAGAACCAAAAGTGGATTTAAACTAATATAATGGTTAACTGATTCATATTTTATCTTTTTTTTTTAATATCTATTATATTGGGTGAAAAGTAAGGATATAATTGATTAAAGAACACGTAATGCTATTTTATATTTGGAAAACCATATATAGATATAAACAACATTTTTCTAAAACTCAGACAATTGAAAAAGGATAAAGGAAATATAGTTTAGTTTTTGTATTTATTAAAACCAATGTGATTCTAGTCGTGATTCAAGTTCCATGTACTCTTAGGACTTTTAGTGGTGAGGATAAAATAGGATGAGGCAGGATAAGAAATGATATAGATAAGACACAATAATGATATAGGTGGTGTTGGTGTAGTCATGATTTTAAGTTCATTTATTTTAAAACCTTTTTCACTCAGCTAGAAATTACTGTTAATATGATTTTTAAAAGATATATTCCTAAGTAGTCAAACTTATTCTTTATTAATTAATTTTATAATAAATGATTAAACATATATTCCATATAACTTATAAAAAAGTTTTTGATAACTCAACATAAGTACTTGTATTATTAATAACTCAATGAAAAAAAAAAACGATGAGTGTTAGTGTAGTTGTAACTCCCCTTGAATATTTGGTAATTAGGCGTCAAACATGGTTGCTGTCATTTTGTTTCACCCTTTAGTCTTCCTCAAAGATGAAAATGGTGATATTTGGATCTGTAAAATGCTAATTTTTTGAGGTACTAATCTGTTGACAAACATGTTAGGAGGACCGTTGGGGATTCAATTTTTAGAGGATGTAATTGATGGTTTACTCTTAACTAATTATAATACTGCAATTAAAGAAATATGCGTGTAGTAGTAACTTCTGTTATTTGTGTATCTTTCCTTGTGTGTTTGTAAGCCTTTTGGGCTCCCAATTTTAATGTTATTTTGTGCATTCGGATTAGTTCTATAAAATGTGGAAATACATTCATTATTCTTGACAATAACTTGCTTGGGGAAGTTTGTGAAGCAGTTTTTCCCTTGCTATTCAGGGCAGTTGGTAGTTGCATCGCTGCTTCAGCAGAATGTTAAGTCGCGCTTGATACTTCGGAATCCTGAGAAAGCCACAGAATTATTTGGTGAACAAGATAAGGAGAAACTGCAGGTACATTGTCTACTCTTTATTGAGCAGTCAAAGTGCAAATTTAATTGCTTAGGTAGTCCCTCTGTGGTATCCAAGAGGTGTGACTCATTGACATTACACAATGAGCTTGTAGGGTAGGACATGGGTTCGATTCTTGCAAAACAAAGTCTTAGAGAAGTTTAAGGAGTTTAAAGTGTGACTAATATCCAAACAGTGGATTAGTCTCGTAGTAAATCCGAAAGACTGAAGATAATTCAGGGTCTGACTTGGGTGCAAAACACTCTAATTGCAATGGTTCCCCAAAAATAAGAAGTAGTCCCTGAGGAGCAACAAACTATGTTGGTTGATTAATTTAACTTCATCCATTCTGGATTTATCTTTTAGTTACATAGAGCTTCTGAACATAACAGGTATTCAAAGGTGACACAAGGAGGCAGGAAGATTTGGATCCTTCCATATTTGAGGTAAGCTCTTCAGAGTATTTTAAAGAATAATATTTGATTGATCTGAGCTTTTGCTTTCCTTGTTTTCTATTTACTTGCTTTTTAGGGTGTCACACACGTGATTTGCTGCACAGGAACAACAGCTTTTCCTTCAAGGCGTTGGGATGATGATAATACACCAGAAAGGGTTGGTAAGAATCATGTCATGCATATATTGCAGCATTTGATGTCATAACTAGAATGAAATAGAAGATTAGTTAGCTGAATATTCGATTGTGGAAAATGTAAGCATAACAGTATTGCATTTTATTAAAAGTTTCCTACAGCACAATCTTCATCTACTTTTCAAGCACTCGCCAATATTTTTATTTTGGTTTTGACCAAAAGTATTTAATTTGAAGACTGGGTGGGAGTAAAGAATCTGGTATCTGCATTGCCTTCCTCAGTGAAGAGAGTTGTTCTTGTGTCATCAATAGGTGTGACCAAATTCAATGAATTGCCATGGAGGTAAGCATTCCTCGTATTTTGTTCTTAATTGACGAAATTTCGTAGTATTTTAAGTTGGCTTGCAAGAAAGTAGAATTTATTTTATTGGTAATTCAGAATAGGACCATTCTAAAATTATAATGAGAAACTAATTTATATTTTAAAACACTTTTCCATGATAAATTATAGAGACCTTTTCTTTTGTTTTGCAAGTTTAAGTGTAATGTAAGACAAAATAAAATCAACTGATGTTTATATTGTTATTGAAATTCCATAACTGGTTTTCTGTTGGCTATTCTCAATTGAATATTTTTTTTTGTATTTTTTAACTTTTTATATATGTATATTTAGTATTATGCTCCGAACTTAAATAATCAAAATTATAAAACTTTTCCTAGTTAATAATCAAGACTCGAACCCTATTTAATTATGCTCCAAACCCATTTTTTTGGTGCTGTTCAACCACTTGAGCCAACCCTCATTGATTAAATTTTAGTTTATGATACAACCAAATAGCATTGATTGATGTATTTAGCCACTCCCACCTAGTGGTATAAGGCTTGGTGGTTGCATATGTTTAAAAAATGGTTATACCTAATTCTTTGTGTGCATGATTCCCCTGTTCATCCTTTTTAGATGAATGTTTGTGCCTTAGGCTGTTAGTATGAATCCAAACTGTGGGATGTCACTAATACTTATTATCCTCACTGCATCTTCATTTTAAAGTATTCATTCACTATCATAATTAGCACCTTTAACTACATAAATTACTTTTTTGCTTTTTTTCTGGGGTAAATAAGTTCCACCCATCCAGGTGATTAATTATATGATTATTCAGTGACACATATTGTGTTAATTATGTTCCAAAATTTTTCTCATGGACTTGTAATTATTCCTTTTGCATGTAGCATTATGAACCTATTTGGTGTCCTGAAGTATAAGAAGATGGGGGAGGATTTTCTTAGGAGCTCTGGCCTTCCATTTACCATTATCAGGTAAGGTAAAGTTTTTGCATTGTTCCACACCTGGTGTTAATACTTGATGAACATAAAGGTGGAAGACTTTTAACTTAGATTGTGTCCTAAAATTTTTAAGTCTCCTCATATGACATATTTAAATGCATATTAGAGCTGGAAGGTTGACAGATGGACCATACACATCTTATGATCTCAATACTTTGCTCAAAGCAACAGCTGGACAACGACGAGCAGTCCTTGTAGGTCAAGGTATGAGTAATGCTCATTTAAAACTGTGGAACAATGCAAGCATTTTTTTTTTTTGTCTTTTTGTTGTTAATTTCCTAAGCAATGTTTGAACCAATTAGCAAGATATACCAGCTGTATGATTGAATATTCGAATATATACTAGCATTCTAGCAAATCAATAATATGTCTTGCTAGCAATGTAGTTTGTTTCAAAGACAAAAGAAGAATTCAGATTCCCACCACTTTTTGTCTAATGAAGCAGGAGCCTTACCCTTGGCTAGATCTAGATGTATAACTGAGTGATGGTCCCCTCATTACACTTTCATACGTCTATTATGATCAGTAACTGCTGCTAGGTGAGCCTAAAATTGAGTTCCTAGTGCTGGTGGTATAAAAGGATTTCTAGTGTTTTTACTGTTGTAACAGTTGGATTGATTAACTCACCACCAACCTTCCTTTATTACCCTAAGTGTAACAATAACTCTGATTGAATGCATAGAATGTCAGTAGGCTCCTCTGCTTGCCTTTAGTGGTATTTGTGACATAAAAAAAAGTTAACAGAGTGATAGTTAACTCCCATAGTTAGTTTCATAGTCAATGGAATAATTAGAGAATTAGTTAGTTTGTCGAGGGTTGAGATAATTAGAGAAACAAGGTTGTTACCTAAAAATAATAAAAAGGGTTGAGAGGAAGATTTTTTATTGTGATTTGTGAGGGAATATAGACTGTTGTCAGTCCATGCCTCTCAAAAGTCCAGAATATCATTTATACTCTTTTCTGTTCAGACAAGCTTTTCTATCTATAATTCTGACCCAGTCCAGTTCCTATCACAGAACCAATCTAACTCTATAATATAGCAACTAACTCATGTATCATGTTTAACTGCAAAGTTTCACTTGTAACAAACAGCATGTATGTCTTTGTCAAATGAAATTAAACTAAAATGCTAGACATTACTTCTCTCAGAGCCATCATATTCTCCTGCATAAACTTCTGCTACACATCTTCTGTAAGACACTCGAAGCCAAACTTTGGAATTGTAACATAATCGAGGAAATCAATGCTTCAATAGGAGGAAAGTCATAAGCCACCATATAACAAAAAGATTGGTGGATAGATATGCATGATTGTTTACTTATAACAAGCCAATGAGGCATCAGGAGTAGTATTTTATTTGTTGGAGAGGTAGAATAGGAAGGAAGCTTGGGGACTGTCAGTGGTGGTGGTGGTGAAGCTGATGGTAGGTCAGGTGCTGCTTGTGAAACTGTGGCAAATTGTTTTTCCCTTCAAGTGAGACACGGAACTCAATCCAGATGTAAAGTCTTCAACAAAGATAGGATGGCTTAAATGCCAATGTAGCTGGAGAGTATATAAAGAACCAATGCAAGAAAATGACTATGGTGTGTGTTCATGCAGTGGACTATGTTCATGAATCATGATGAACAATGATCTTTGCGAACTGGTCTTTACATTTAAATGATGTGACTCGTTTATAGTATACCTTTTACTAATATTTTTGTTTAAAGTTTTAAAAATTAGTTACGGGCTTTCAGGTGATAAACTAGTGGGAGAAGCTAGCAGAATTGTGGTTGCAGAAGCTTGCGTGCAGGCACTAGATCTCGATGTCACTGAAAACCAAATATATGAAGTTAACTCTGTTGAGGTAAAGTTTAAGTGGTAATTTTGGTCTTAGCTATATAAAATGACACATTGATTTGTTAAGTTTGTATGATTAGAGTCGTCCTCCATATATGTTCTATATTTTAATAATACCACGTGGGATCTTAAACACATCATTCTCACACTAGCGAATTAGACAACTTGAGCATAAAGTTTACGACACTACTTGACAATTTGATAGTAACTTGTAATTCAGGTTTTGCTTCTTATCTATATACTTCAATTTGCTAGTATCATCGGACAATGTGAAATTGTCAACACATCAATATGGAGAATTGAATTGAATATATTGAATATGAAATTTGTAGGATTGGATATCTTTGAGTTGTTCAATAATAGCCCATTAGCATGTGGTCCAATAAGTTAGCCCAACAATAATAACTAATATAGCCTATAATACCATTTTAGGATTTTGGGCCTACTTTTATAATAGTGTAACTAAAAATCAAATATTAATTAAAGATAGGGTATTTTAGGAAAAATATGATTAAATGAAGTAAAAGAGTTAAAATTTGCTTCTATTTGAAAACAAAAAATGTGTATTTTTTTTTTTAATTCTAGTGAGAACATGTACCTAGTTATAACTTGTAATATGCTGTGAATAAGAAAAGTGTGTATTTGTTACCCAATCATATTTTTATTTATATATTCCTTACTCCATTTGTGCATATTGTTGATGCTAAAGTGCATACGTTTTAGGGGGAAGGTCCTGGAAATGAAGCTAAGAAGTGGCAAGAATTATTTGAGGCTGCGCAATCCAGCTAGCACTTCAAGCCATGTGTACATCCCAACATACCAAACACACTAATTAAAGAAGACGAGCTTAAAGGAGGAAAAAAAGGGGTAAGTCAAAAGTAAGAAATCAGTAAAATAAGATGTGTTGTGCACCATTTTGCCTTCTCTTAATGTAAATATTTTGTAGTAATGTTATTTTGATATGAATTTCCTTCATGAAAGTATGACTAATGACTTTTGAATCTGTTAAGAGAACAGAGAAATTATTGTTTTAAGAACGAAAATTGATACAAAGTTTGAATTGCTTGTGTTTGAAGAACCTCATTTATCATTACGAGATACCAATCTCTCTCAGATTCCTTACCTTTTTATTTCATCTTACACCTTTGAGCACTGACATCTTGTTTATAAACTAAATTCTTTGCTAAACCAAGTCTTACGCAGTGACAGTAAAGCCAGTCTTGGGACACGATTGATTTTCTAAACTGATGAATTATTTATTGATTGTTTGTTTTGAGATAATAAAAAATTAAATCTTAATTATTTTGAGTAAAAATATTTTTAAATCTCTCCATAAGCACTCAAACATGCTTGTTCCTTACGTGTTTGTGATGTGAGAGATGCCAAATCATAGTGCCATCACACACACACAAAAAAATGAAAACAATTCTATATTGAAATATATCTGAGGAATATTTGAAATGATTTTTAAGAAGCGAAGCAAAAGCAAATATGTTATATTAATCATTGTGAAGTACGAAATCACTTCCCAAAGAATTTGCGAGCAAGAATCAAGTAAAATCAAATTTATTGCCAAAGCATATGCTTTTCTCTCTAAATGGCTGAATTAATGAAATGTTAATCTTCTTTTCCCCTCGTACCATCTAAATGACTAAATTAATGAAATATTCATCCACTTTTCCCCCCACCAAACCGAAATCGTACCCTCGAAATGACTAAATCAATGAAAAGTTACTTGTTATTTGAAGTCTAAAAACATTAAGGGAATTTAGAAAAGTGTGCAAAAATAAAAAGTACAAAAGTATATAAAGAAAAAGCATTAGGTAAATCACAAGTAAGAAAGATGCACAGCAATCTTTTGCAACCCTATTTTGGACAATTTATAGTCCATCCTCCTCTTCACGTGTTTAGGGAATACAATGATGTTGAGAAGTTTCATAGCCAGTTTGGATAGTTTTGTTTTATGCAAATTTTTTGACAACTAGAAGTAATTTTAATAAAGTAAAAAAAAAGTCTTTTAATCAGAAAATTTAATTCTTGTAATATCAATCTTCGAAAGTTTATATTAAAATCAAAATAAATAAATAAAAAAATACCCTTCATCATTAAGCATAGTGTCGTGATGATGAGTTTTTTTAGCATTATTAAAAATATCATCAAGCATTGATTTATATAAAAAGAGGAGACATCAACCAAGGATATTTGATAGAAAATCAAATTATAATTAGAAAGCATATTTCTCATATTTGGTTTACCTTTAAAAATAACATTATATATAATATATACCACTATTGATACTTTCTTTAATCTTACAAGAAAAGTATAGAACATTCTGTGAGCACTATACTAACTTGATTCATATATATATATATATATATATATTAGGGTTCGAGATTGAGTGAACTTACATGCTGAGTGTTTGATATCTAAACCAAGAGTGATAATAATGATGGGAAGAAAAATAGAGAGAACCGAAGAAACCCCATTATTTAGCGAGAAAACGAAACTGGCTCAGAAAGCAGCCATGGAAAAGCGATGGAAAGACTTCAAGGAAATAATGAAGGACAACAGGGAAAACATCCTTAAGATGTTTGACCTGTTCGAGAACAATGCGATCCATGTCGCAACTCGTTCGAACGACCCTAAACTCTTGAAAGAGATGATAGCATTGGTGCCTGAGGAAGAAAGGTGGCAAGCCATGTTCCAGAAAAATGGCGAGGGAAACACTGTTCTGCACGAGGCTGTGCTCTGCAAGAGGATGGAAATGGTGAAAGCTGTGTTTGCGGTTGAAGACGGGTTGCAGGAAGAATCGTCAGTGGATGAGAAGAGGTCATTGCTGGAGGTGAAAAACAGCCGCGGTGAAACCCCTTTCTTCGTGGCTGCCATGCATGGAAAACTGGAGATGCTCAAGCTCATGGCTATTCATTTCGCCATGCATGAAATGGGAGATTTTCGTCAACATTTACGTAGATTTGACGAGTATTCTGCTCTTCATGCCAGTGTCATTGGACAACACTTTGGTAAGTCTTTCATTTCTCTTTGTAATTTTTTTAACCATAATATTTATAATATTATTAAGACTAAATTAAATATTAAAACTAATTTATACCATCCCTTATCTTAATTAATAAGACGTTTTTTCAAAGAAAAATCATATGGAACTGTCAAATTCTAAAATAACAATATCTCAATATAATTATTGATCTAAGAATAATATTTTAGATTAAGAGTTTGTAAGTAGGGTTAGGTTGAGATAAAGAGTCATTTCTTTTAAATTACTATTGTTGAGATAACTTAAAATCATTATAAGATCCTTTTAAATTCAAAAAAAAAAAAACACTTTCTTTTGCAAATGATGTGTTAGATTACTCCTTAAATAATGTTTTTATAATTTTTAATAATTACATAATAAGTTTTATTACTAATGATGATATTATAATTTGTTTTAAATTAGAAAGATTACATGTAAATTTTTATGTGTTGTTTTATTATTTATTGTTAAAAATTAAGAACAAAAATGCATGTAATTTAGATTCTAAGTCCTCCCTCTCATCCCAAAAATGTATTAATAAAGTTAGTGTAAATGAAACATAAAATTCATGAACAAATGTACGATATATAAAAATAATATTTTAGTTTTTCTTTTAAAAGTTAGTTTGAAAAGTTATCAGATAATATAAAATAACATCTGTTTTTTTTTATTTGAATTCTAAAATTGAAAATTTAAGATAAGGATATATTAAAAAAATATTATATTATTCTTAAAAAATTTATAGTGTAACAAATAGAAATAGGAATTTTAGATTAATGATACCATCATATAAAAATTAATTATAATATAAATCATTTTAATATTATTAATTAAATTTACATTTTAAAAATTAGAGTTTATTTTTTTCTCTATTCTTTTTTTTATTAAATTTTTTTTATAATTTTATTTGTAAATATCTCTAAAACTTAACCTTATTTCTTTTGTTTATTTTAACATCAAAATAGAGTATTATAAAATATTAAAATAATTAATAATAAATAAAAAATTATATCAATATTTACTACACTAAAAATATTAATTTGTTATAATAAAAAAAATAATAAAGAAAATAAGTTTTTTTTTAATGTTTCATTATATCAAGAAAATTATTGTTGGATATTTTTTTTATTTGAACAGAAATAAAATAAAAAACTAAAGAATAAAAAAGTACAATTTTTATATTATAAAAATAAATTGTAAAAAAGAAAAATATGAAAACTAAGGAGAAAAAGTTACAAAAATTACGCAATGAGATGAAACACAAAAGAAGGATATGAAAATAAACGAGTGATAAAAAAAATAAATAAAGAATGTGAAAAGACTAAGTGAGATTCTGGCACAAAAAATTTAAATGGGAGGGTGAATAAAAGATAAAAATCTAAAGTTAAAAAGAAGAAAGAAAAAAAAGATGTAAATAGAAATGACTTAAGATAATAAATATCATAGCATTATAAATAAAAAAGTAAAATTTTTAATTTTAAATATATTTATAAAATCATTTTGATAATTTATTTTTCATAAACAATAATCATCTTATAATAATATAATAAAATTATAATTATTTTAGATTAAGAAAGTTATCAAATGAAAAAGTTAGTTATAATGAATTTTATTTAAATTACTCCTACGCGGGAGGAAGACAATTAAACCCCGTTCGTAAAGATCGATAAGTTCATACGTTGAGTCTAACGAGAAAAACCCATTCTATTCGAGTGTGAGAAAAAACCTTATCTTTTTTGGTTTTGACATATCTATTATCATAAGTTTGTTACTAGGAATTCAAATGAATGTCTTTAAAAAAAAATTTCAAGAAAATCTTTGTTATATTTTTTAATTTTAAATGCAATCACAAGACATGATGATGAATCCATTACTATTAATTATAATTATTTTGTAATGATAATTATAATATTTTAATTATGAGTGATAAAACAAATTATTTTGTCTATTTTTACTCATCTTATCTTTGCTTCATAAAAAATATATCATACGAATTTATCTATTATAGGCAAGATCATTACGTACCTTAATCCACCCATCTATAAATTGGTGTTGAATCAACTTACAGATATTTTTTTTATAGTTTTAAAATTTTTTTAAGTTTTTTTGTTTCAAAATATACCCTTAATTATATTAACATTTTTGAAATTTTTATTTAATGATTAATATTTTTATTAGATAAATTTAAAAAATTATTATATTTATGTATTAAAATATTAAATTATAATCAATAATTTAATTTTAATCATGTATAATTTAAATTAAAATATCATCATATATTTGTCCATTCCAACAATATAACAAGAAATATAATATTTTTATTATAATATGTTTTATTTTAATTTCAATATTAAATAGTTTTAAAAAACAGGATAACGAGTTACTCACCTCATACCACCTTTGATCACCATATTGTGGTATGTTAAACAAAATAAATTAAATAGAATTAATGATTAACTATCAACTTATAACACCAATTTCAACACAACTCATCACATGTTTTGTTATCTCCTTTCAATAAAATAAATAAATAAATAATGTAACTCATAAATGTCGAGAATCTAATAGCATATTAGAAATTATTGTTTAAAAAGTATTACTTGGATGTCAATTAATATCTCAATTGAGAGAGATATATAGAGTCGATTATCTATATATTTATAATTTTTAACTTTAATATATAAATATATTTTTCAATATTAAAATTACTATTTTTTTTAATAATATAAGATATATGTGTGTATGCAAATTTTAATTTTAGTCCAATATAAGTAAATATTTGTTTTGAAAAATAAAAAACTGTAATATTTTAAAGATATGAAAACTATTTTTTTTTCTTGATAAGGTAATTAATGAGTAAGTTTTTGATGCAGATGTTGCATATTGGCTATTAAGAATGGATAAAGAACTTGCTAAGCTAAAGGATAAGCAAAATCTAACATGTCTTCAACTACTTGCCAAAATGCCCGAAGCTTTTCGAAGCAACTTTCAATTGGGACCAGTGAAGAGTCTCTTATATATGGGTATTTTTTTTTCCTCTCACTACATTACATACCATTGTAGTAGTGGAGTTATTTTAGAAATAGAAAATATTCTATTATTCTTTTTAAAATTATAATTCATTATAATTTCCTTTTTAAAAGTTTCCCTTGGATTAAAAAATCTTAAGACAATAAATTGATGGGTATAAAAAAAGAATTTATATAATTTTATTTTTTTCAAAACATGTAATTTAGAAGTTTTTTTATTACATATATTTTTTAAATAATTTTAAAAATATTATTTTCATCATTTTAGTGGTGGGGTCAATATCTTTGGTAGTTTTGGGTTATGAATAATCCATAACACTAAATCCAAAAAATAAAAATTTACCATTTTTTCCATTAAAAATATTACACGATTTCTCATAATTCTCTCACCCTTTATGTAATTGATGTTAATTGGTGGTTATGATTTGAGTGATAGTACTTCCTGTTGGATATGAAATTGAAGATGAAGAAAACGTTGAATTGTTTAAGCAAAGCAAAGATTTAGAAAGTGGGAAAATGGAGAAAAGAAATCTACGTAAACCAGGTACTTATTACGTATAAATATAATTCTAATTTCTTTAAAATAATTTCATTTTGTATATAAAGTTTAAAGAAAATTTAAAATTGCAGTTCTTTCAGATATCAACTACAAGTTTTGGAAAAGCATGGCAAAAGGTAAGTTCTCTCAATTATCTTAGTCATTAATTAATATTATCTTAATCATTATTCATTAGATGATTTTTTTAATATTATAGGAAAATTATTTAAACATTATAAAAATATTAAAATAGTGTTTTTGATCATCCATCATACACGTAGTAGCATACAATATATTGGTCAAGGATAATGAAATTTTAGTCATAAATATAATATTATAGATGATTTCTTTTAGTCATAAAAAATATCTTCAAAATTGTGAGAATGGTTCTTGATACCACCAAAAATATTTCATAGTTCACCTATTGTTCTTTTATTTATTCTTCTCCAAACCCTAAACCTTAGTTACCATTTATTATCATTTACCAGTAAGTTAAGTTCTACCAAATACATTAAGTTAGACTATTTCCTTTTACCAACAACATATATGAACACTAAAATAGTTAATGTTTATATTTTTGAACCTTAAAGGGGTCAATAATAACATCATCAATTAATTTTCTACCAGAACTTTTTACATGTAAGTTATGTTCTCCATCAATTATTTATCTATGATAAACTTTTTGCCTAATCTATACATTTCAGAGTTTGAAGGAGTTGGTCGTATGTGGAAGGAAAAGAAAAAACATAAGTTAGTAGAAGGTCTAGTAAATATTTTAGTGCAATATGATTTATCATGGCAGATATCTTGTAATGAATCCAAGATGACAAGATTGATTAGAATGCCATATCATCCTTTCAATGTGCCAAAAAGGAGAAGGTTAAGTGCAAAGAAGATGGAAGAAAGGCGTAGCAAAGATGACGAAGACCCTGTTTTTGATCGCATACCACTACTCATAGCAGCTAAAACTGGAATTGAAGAAATTGTTGAAAAATTCTTCGAGGTGCATCCAGAGGCTATTTCTCATGTTAATAACGATGGCCAGAACATATTACACGTGTAAGTGGGTTAACTCATCAATCTATTTTTCTTCAATTTTTAAGAAACATGAATGGAGAAAGAGAAAGAAGAAGGAAGAAACCAGTGAAGACCCAGTGTCCAACAAAGGAAGGAAACTTTTGTATTGAAGAAATTTTTCGTGGATTACAAAAGGATGAGTACTGAAAACGGAAAACGATAAAAACTGATAACAAGTACGTAAAAAGCATGCAGTGCTGAGAGAATAAAAAGAACGAAGTTCTAAGAAATGATGTTTTAAACTCAACCTTAAAGTTACATTACTTTAACCACAATTATGTGTCAATATTTTTTTATTTTTGGCTATTCATACTTATTTGTTTTAATATTAAATGTGTGTATGCAGAGGCATTAGGTATAGACAGAATAAAATCCTGAAACTTATAGAGAGAAAAGGTGTAGTGGAATCATTAGTTCATCAAATCACAAAGAAAGGTCGAACTATCCTACATGAAATTGCAAGGATGGATTACTACAAAGCAGCACGCTTAGCTGGAGTGGCATTCCAACTGCAAGATGAGTTACGTTGGTATGATGTAAGTATAGCTAATTAGTTCTTTGTCATTGTAGAATAGCAATTCTTGATTATCCAAGTACTTAATATGGATAAAAATCTTTATTATTGGAATAACATAAAAATTGTTTTAATTTGATTCCTTCGTGAGAATCTCTCGTTTGTTAACCTTGTCGAAATCATAAAATCTCATTGCAATGACAAGAAAATTATTGCTTATTCAGAAAGTGAGAAGTATGATTCCTGAGCACTACATCATGCACTGTGATGTAGACGGGCATACAGCAGAAGATATGTTAGAAAATGAGCATGATGACATGCTTAAAGAGGCACAAAAATGGTTAAAGGAAACAGCACAATCATGCTCCACTGTTGCAATTCTAGTTGCTACTGTTGTATTTGCTGCTGCATACACTGTTCCTGGTGGAACTGAGAATGGTACTCCTGTGCTCCTTCATTCTGGTGTGTTTCTCTTTTTCACCATCATGGATGTTGTGGCTCTTGCTACCTCACTTGCTTCGGTGGTGGTGTTCCTCTCCATCCTCACTTCCCCATGTGAGTTGTGGGATTTTCACAAGTCTCTTCCACGAAAACTGAACTTGGGATTTGCTTTGCTGTTCTTATCATTGATGACAACAATGCTTGCATTCAGTGCAACCATGTTGCTGACCATTCGATTGGAATGGAAGAATTGGACTTCAACATTGATATACAGTGCTGCTTTCTTTCCTGTCACCATATTTGCAATGATTCAATTTCCAGTTATAATGATGACAAGAAGCATTGTCGACAAGCTTTGGAAGCAACTTAAGAGGGTCCTTCCTATCAGATTGATTAATTGTCTCACTAGGGGCATTTGATGTTTTCACTATTGAGTGTGGAAGAATGCATCAAGTTTTTAGAACTTTGGTTTGGAGAATGGATTTGTATTTTGTTAAGAATTGAATATGACTTCTCATATTGTGCAAATGGATTTTGTGATTTTTTAAGTTGTGGTCCCAAACCATGTTAAGAAGGAATAATTTGTGGAATTTAAGGTGATCTGTATTGTATTGTTGGAGAATTGCTCATGTGTGATGAGTAACAAAAATCTAGAAAATATTTAAAAATGAGTTCAATTTATTTTTTTCTTCATGTATTTTTTAAAAATTTAATTTTTATCCTTCTACTTTAAAAGAAATGTTAAATTTAGATATAAAGAATAATTAAAGTCTCATATTTTGTAAATTTAATGATTTTATCAAGTTTATAATGATAATTAACCACCTTTAAATATTAATTATTACCTTATAAATTTGATTTTAAGATAGATAATTAAAATTTATTTTACAATTTTAATTTTTTTAATATACATCACATACTACCATGTTACCAAATAACAGTAGATGTGACTTAAGAAAGTTATTGAACACGTTGGTCAAATAAAATTAATTTAAAATAAATTATAAATTTTAATTTAATTTGATTTTATTAAGTTAAGGTACTAATGAATTAATTTTAATTTGATTAAAAATTTTAAAATATAATTATTAACGTGGTTATACCAAAATAATTAATTAAATAAAATATTTAAATAAAAAAATATATTTTTTAAATTTAAAATATATTAGTAAAATTATTTTTTATTTAAGATATAAAAAGTTAATAAATAAAAAATAACATAATATAGATTTATTTAATATTAATAAAATAAAAATTTAAAACTCATTTTTTTTATTACCATATTTATTTTTAATAATTTATTAATAAAGATAATAATTAATTATAATAACTTATTATTATTTTTTTTAGAATAAATAAATCTCTTATATAATTAATTTAATTTATATATATATATATATTAATAAAATAATATTATTTTTATTTGTATTTAAAAGTAATTATCATTTTATAAAACATAAACTTATAAGATAGTTTAGTTTAAATCCATCTAAGTAGTTGAACAAAATTAGGTTGAATTTAATTTAATTTAATTTTTTTTTAAGTTTATCATGAATATTTTACATCGATCCATTAGATGAAATCTATTTTCAGATTCATATTGTAAGCCTCAAATAATAGAATAATAATAATAATAATAATAAGTCATTTTATTATTTGTTATTAAAAAACTAACAAATATATATAGAATTTGGTGTGGGTATATAAATTAATTAAGAAAAAGATTTTTGAGATTGAAAAAAAAAAAAAAGAGAGTGAAGATAGTGATTTGGGACAAATCTTAACTTGTGAAAACATGAGAATCATATAACCATTAGAATTTTTTTTTCTTTAAGTAGGGTACCGTTGTCTCCTATTGCGTAAAGGAAAAGAGGATTGTTTGGAAACTCGTAAAACAAAATGTTTAGAAATTAATTTACTTAGTTTAAATAATGTTATATATAATTAGTGTTTTGAAAACTAAAAAAATATTCATTATATTTTATTTAATAGGTAAAAGGTTGATAAAACGATTTTGAAAAAAAAAATTAGAATTATTTATTTGGCTTACGTACTTCCCCTAAATATTTTTGCTGAAAAGATAACTTTAAGTTTAGGGTTTATGTGTTATTTTAAAATTAATTCCTAATTATTATAATTATTATTATTAAGACAAATTTTCACACAACATGTTTCTGAAATATATTCATCAGCTTAAAGGATAAATTGAACATACTAAATAATAATATAAATCTAATTATTAATTATAAAAAATTTGCTAATAATAATTTATCTGTTATTTTCGAGAAATTCACATTATCTGTAAAATATAGATTTTAAATTATAATCTTATAATTCAATTTTTTACGTAAACAATAACAATTCTTAACTGTCATTGTTAGCGAACTACAATTACCAAAAATCGAAAATTTTATATGTTGTTTTTAAGAATTTCTCATTATTTATTTCTAATCGAAAAATCGAAATTCCATTCATGCGTACCCACCACACAGTAAAAGAGAAAGATAGAGGAAAAGCCTAAAAAGGAATAAGAAGTAAACAAAGGAAAGAATAAAATAATAGAAAAAATAAACAAAAGTGAAAGATGGACAAAAATCTTCGCTACCCTGATCAAATCACGTTGATGAATCTTCGCAACCTTACACGTTTCTAGGGTATGAAATCACGTTGAAGAATTTCAAAGCCAGATTTTGGATTTTCTTTTGAAGTTAGTAGAATTATTATTTTTGTTTTAAAAAAAAGGTGAAAACTAACTTATTTTATATTTAATTTTAACTGTAAGACACATTATTTTATCATGTTTATATTTTAAAAATACATTTGATAAAATACATTTGATTAGAGAATTGACTGTGTTAATATCAACTTTTATAGATAATAATTCCTATTAATATCATATTACGGTAAGACACAATTATTTGATATTTTCTCTTTTTTTACTCTATTGAAAGAAATATTAATATATCAAAATGTTCAAGAATGGGAGATATATATATATATATATATATATATATATATATATATATATATATATATATATATATATATATATCAAAATGTATAGGAACGGGAGAGATAGATGAAGTAGAAAATTCAACTATTTTTCTAACGATGTGTTGGTGGAGTAAAAAATTGAGAATCTGAATCGAAAATTGAAAAAAGGATTTCGATGATTATTGCTGAGGAAAATCGAGAATTTGAATTGAAAATCGAAAGAAGAAATTCGATGATTATTGCTGAGGAAAATCGAGAATCTGAATCGAAAGAAAAACAGAGGAAATTCGATGAACATGATTGAGGAGGTAAAAAATCGATTATAGGTATTGAGTGTGAGGCTAAGTGGGAAGTCAGATGCAGTTCAAAATACTCGATGGTTGAGGTCGAGATCGAGATAACGTTTAAAGTGCACATGGAACATGAGAAGCGGTTTTCTAAATGGTGGCTAAGTTGGAAATCGAGGAACGGTTAACGCGTACATGGAACATGGGAAGTGGTTTTCTAAACCGTGGCTAAAGTGGAAATCGAGGGACAGTTAACGTGCACATGGAACGTGGTAGCGGTTTTTTAACCACTCGTAGGAGGTTACCTTAAAGAACATCTATAAATAGAGCGAAGCATGAAGACGGAAGGGGAAATTGGAAGAGAGAACAGAAACACAAGTGAATGAGTCTACCGGAGAATGACGAACCATGAAGTTTTTGGCGATCTGGATTTCCATTTTCATTGACTGTTGTTACCGCTTTCTTTACTTTCCCTGGTACTTTAGCTTTAATGCAATCTAATTTTACGTGTTTTTATTTTCATGTTATTTCAATTTCATTGCCCTTTACACTATGCAATCTTAAGATTCTGCATTACATCTTTGTCTCGATAGTTTTTAATGTTTTCTTTACTTTCTCAGTAATTTATCTACTTGCACGTTTAATTTATCTTTCAGTGATGTCGATTACTTTTATGCATACTTTAGTTTATGTCATTTACTCTTAGTGCAATTTAATTTTATGTATTACTTTGTTGTCTCGATGTTCTTTTACTTGCTTTCTATACTTCGTTAAATTTCATATTCTCAAGTCTTTTAATAAAAAAAAATACAAAAAGAGAACTTTAAATTTCAATATATATGTTTTATCACACTTTCTGTGTTTCTAATATACGCGCTTGGTTTCATCTATTTTGCTCGATATTTTTATATTCTCGATTTACATACATTTTTTGATTGAAAAACTGTTTGCTAGCCTAAATAAAAAAAAATTATGTGGTTAAAATTTGGTTAGAACCTAAGTCTTTAGGAAATCGAAACAAACCAAATTTTCACCAGAAACATGATGAGTATCGAATTTGGCCTCTACTTTATCTAACAATTTGATATATGTTGGTTTTATATATCAAAGAAAGGGAATTCTCAAAAAAAAAAAAAAAAATTAAACCTATAATAAATGAGCTTTAAAATTGGATCCACACTTTAAGCCAGCTCAAATAAATGACGGTTTCTAAAAATAAAATATTCCAAAGATGTTGCAATTAAGAGGGTAGATGAAAAAGAATAATAAAAATAAGGATAAATCGGTTTTTGTTAAGATTTCGAAATAAGGAAAAAAAAATTAATTGAAAAAGGAGCAGTATCAAGAATTTGGATTGTACTAAGAGAATACTCACTTATTGGATAAGTTTCATATTTTTTTAGGAGACATTTTATTATTGAAAAATTTACAAATATATTGAAAGGATGAGTTGGAGAAAATATTGAAGTTAAAAGATAGAAATTGAGATTGATGGTAAAAATTGATATTGAGACACTAAAAGATCGAAAGGGTAAAAATTGAGATTGAGATTATAAAAGATTGAAAATGTATCGAGATAGTAGGGATAGAGGGGGTGAAAAATCGAGATCAAACTCATGAAAATCAAAAGTGATTGAAAATAAAAAATTTAACTAATCAAGGAATTAGTCGAGATATATAAGAAGTCGACATAAAAGAGAATAAGTGGTTGAAATGTACAAATTGAAGAAATAAGATAATTAAAAGACGTTATAAGTAATTGAAAGAGGAATTGAGACAAAAATGAGGTGGTAAGGGGACATGGAAGAATTAGAAGATCAATGATTCACATAAAAATAACAAAAAGAGACAAAATAACAATCAAAGATCAAATAATCAATGAATTTTCATAGTTAAATATCAAGAAACACATTGACAGAAGTAGATAATGTTTTTAAATATAAATTGAAAGAAAACTCTTTGTATTTTATTTTAATTCTCTTAGTGGTTATGCAAGATAATATATAACACATGATGAAATAAGTATAATTAAGGGTGACAAATTGTTGAAAGATATTTATACTCTAAAAAAAATCTCGAACAAATAAATATTATTTCAATGGAGATCTTAGTAATTTGAGTCATCATTTTTGTTGAAT